CCTTTTGCCTATGTATCCATATGCCTGCGTGCCTGTCTTTCTATCTATCTACCTATCTATCTATCTGTTTGTCTGTCTGTCTGTCTGTGTCAACCGGTTGCCGCAGCGTGATGTCATAGCAGCATGAGCTCGTTGCCCGTCGTTGTAGACCTTGGTGTTTGTTTGACGTTCCTTCTTGTTGCATTGTTGCATGACCATGTGGTTGCCTTGTTGTTTGCATGCAACTTTGTTCCGCTGTGCTGTGATGCCTTGATCTAATGTTAATTTTGACATGCGGCGTTGCGGCGGCGTCTGCTGTAGATGGCATGTCGCTGTCCTTGCCGTGTTGTTTGCGTGGAGCTTAATGTCGTTTTTTTGCCTTGATCTCAAGTTAATTTCCACATGTGTCGTTTTGGCCCGGTCTACCGTAGATTCCTCGTCTCCCTTTCTACTTTTGGATTTATCCTTTTGCCTATGTACCTATCTATGTATCTATGTATCTATGTATCCATGTATCCATGTACCTATGTATCTATCTATCTATGTATCTATCTATCTATCTATCTATGTATCTATGTATCTATGTATCTATGTATCTATGTATCTATCTATCTTTCTATCGATCTATCTATCTATCGATCTATCTATCTATCTATCTATCTAATCTATCTATCTAATTAATCTATCTATCTAATTAATCTATCTAATTAATCTATCTATCTATCTGTCTACCCATCTACCTATCTACCTATCTACCTATCTACCTATCTACCTAACTACCTAACTAACTGACTGACTAACTAACTAACTAACTCAGTAACTAACTAAGTAACTAACTAACTAACTAACTAACTAACTAACTAACTAACTAACTAACTAACTAACTAACTAACTAACTAACTAACTAACTAACTAACTAACTAACTCAGTAACTAACTAACTAACTAACTAACTAACTAACTAACTAACTAACTAACTAACTAACTAACTAACTAGCTAACTAACTAACAAACTAACTAACTAACAAACTAACTAACTAACTAACTAAACTTACTAACTAACTAACTAACTAACTAATTAACTAACTAACTAACTAACTAACTAACTAACTAACTAACTAACTAACTAACTAACTAACTAAACTAACTAACTAACTAACTAGCTAACTAACTAACTAACTAACTAACGAATTCGTCAAAATAATCTATCTACCTAATTAATATATCTAATTAATCAATCTATCTAATTAATCTATCTATCCAAATAATCTATCTACCTAATTAACCTATCTATCTAATTGATCTATCTATCTAATTAAACTATCTATCTAATTAATCTATCTATCTATCTATCTATCTGTCTGTCTGTCTGTCTGTCTGTCTGTCTGTCTGTCTGTGTGTCAAGCGGTTGCCGCAGCGTGATGTCATAGCAGCATGAGCTCGTTGCCCGTCGTTGTAGACCTTGGTGTTTGTTTGACGTTCCTTCTTGTTGCATTGTTGCATGACCATGTGGTTGCCTTGTTGTTTGCATGCAACTTTGTTCCGCTGTGCTGTGATGCCTTGATCTAATAATATGTCGACATGCGGCGTTTCGGCGCTGTCTGCTGTAGATGGCATGTCGCTGTCTTTGCCGTGTTGTTTGTGTGCAGCTTAATGTAGATCCCAAGTTAGTTTCCACATGTGTCATTTTGGCTCCGTCTACCGTAGATTCCTTTATGTGGGCTCGCCGTTCTGCCGCCGCAGTGTTGTCATGATTCTGTCATGTTACCTGAGTTTCGTTGATTCCTGCGCCCGTGTGCCCGTGGATTCCTCGTGTGCCCGTGTGCCCGTGTGCCCGTGGATTCCTCGTGTGCCCGTGTGTCCGTGGATTCCTCGTGTGCCCGTGTGCCCGTGTGCCCGTGGATTCCTCGTGTGCCCGTGTGCCTGTGTGCCCGTGTGCCCGTGGATTCCTCGTGTGCCCGTGTGCCCGTGCCCGGAGGCCCGTGAGGAGACCTATCTCCCCCTGATCCAAGCAGAACCGCCCCAAGCAACGCCACAACTCGAATGAGAAGCCGTCACCTCTGTGAGGGAGCCTGTCACCTCCAGAAGATCTGCGAGATTGTAGACGGAGCTGAGGGTGTCCGGATGCGCGGGGCCCAGCTGACCTTCTCGCCCCGTCAGGGCCCTGCGATAAAGGCCCTCCGCCTGGCGCAGGGTTGTGGATGGATGTCAGCGGGGTGGCTTCCTATGCCGTGGCGAGATGAGCCTTGTGCTGTGATCCGCAACTGGTGTGAGGCAATGTGTTGTTGGTGCAGTGTGGCACATTGATTCTTCAAACACCAAAACCTGCAAATCTGATCTGCATAGGATGGGATGGTGGGAACCACGAAGCCAAGGTGAAGGCTTTTCTTGTACTGCGTGAAGCTGGCACACATGATCGATGCATCAGCCAAAGCTCTAAATAGAACCGAGCTACCAAGTCTCACTTCTTGGAAGACAATGTTGATCTACCCTTGCACGAAATGCATGTACTGCTGTTGAGATGCAACAACCCAGTCAAACGGATTATATACAGCCGAAGCCTGGATTCCGGAGAAACAGTTTCATGAGTTTGCGACCCTGGCACGTCCTGCTTGCTTGGCCCGCGTCTTGTGGGGTCATTTCATCAAATTCTCCGGCGACAATGCTGTCGGACATTACATTTCAAAGTAAACTTACCAAGACGAGTCCCACATGCAAAATCACACTTCTCATAAACAGAATTTTTAAATTTCCGGTGAAACTTGGAAACAAGAAACTCACCGGTCCCTTGTCCTGGTCACTCGAGAACTGCCTTCCCCTCGACACTTCCGCAATCTCTGCGTGCCCCAAGCCCCAACGACCTCAGCCCCGCCTCCTCCAACTTGCCCTGCTCCTCCAAGAGCATGGAAAGGGTGGTAGCCGAGACGAGCGTGCTGGGATGTTGCGGTCCTAGTTGGGACTCTTGGCCTTCCAAGGCTCGGCGGTGCAGCCCTTCAGCCTCGCGGCTCGAGATGGAGCGCTAAGGTGGTGAAACATGAGAAGAGAGCCCGGGCTCAGGCCCCATGGGTCATGGAAAGGGAAGAAAAAGCCAACAAAGGCCACAATTTTTGGACTATAGTGAGAACATACTATTCCAAGCGCTCGTCAAGCACTCTTTGAATTCACGGGATGCGAAGAAGCATCAATTTACTCAATTTACTCACAGTGTTTGCTCACATTGCTGGCACACATGATCGATGCATCAGCCAAAGCTCTATATGCATAGCCACTTTTTGCAAAACAATGTTGATCTACCCCGGCACAAAAATTTGCATGTACTGCTGTTATGATCCAACAACCCAGCTAAACAAGTTAAGTCCAATCAAAGCTTGGATTCCGGAGAAAAAGTTTCTAAATTGCTCCAGTGAAACTGGAAAAGCAGGAAAACTCACCAGGGCCCTTGTCCTGGCCAATCGAGAACTGCCTTCCCCCTCGACACTTCCGCAACCTCTGCGTGCCCCAAGCCCCAACGACCTCAGCCCGGCCTCCTCCAACTTGCCCTGCTCCTCCAAGAGAACGGCCAAGTTGTTAACCGAGTTGAGCGTCTCCGGGTGTTGGGGTCCCAGTTGGGACTCGCGGCCTTCCAAGGCTCGGCGGTGCAGCCCTTCAGCCTCACGGCTTGAGGTGGAGCACGAGGGCACAGGTCTCGTGGAGGGCCGCAGTTCTTGGACTAGAGTGATATTCCAAGCACCTTTAAAGAATTTTTTGAATTCACTACCATCAGCTTTAAAGGATCGCCAAAATCATTTTTTGTGAAATGGCTTTTGATATCCGCGTTGCACCTCTTATTTTTTATGTGCACAGCAATGTGCCACAATGGGCACCCAATCAATGCACGGATATATGTTTCCACAATCACAATGGTTTTCATGGGGGCCTGGTGGCGTGCTTGTCTGATTTCAAGGGGCCTCGCCCCTGCGGGAAATGCTTCACCGTTAAACTTAAGCCAAAACCTGCCCCACACTTGTCAAGCGCTTGCCAAAGGCTTTTTTGTATTGACAATCCCCAGGAGACTATCATAATCCGCGTCCCTACTTAACATCTGCCTGCTCTCATGAAACAACGCCGGGGTGATCACGGAGGCTATAATTGCCCGGATGATCTGCCATCCCAAACGCCCAACAAAAACATCACAGTATAATACATCATGAATATCACATGAATTACATAACTAAGCGCCCATGAGAACCTCACCAATACAGTATCATGTGGGCGTGTGGGTAGTTTGGATAATTCAATCTTATGTACATTATATAGTAATATATTTATATTTATATACATAACACGTATTTTCTAAGGAATACCCTACTCACAGGTTCAGTTGAACTGGTGCTATTGTCACAGTCAATCAAGTGCCTGTACTGTCATCCGAAATCCATCAACTCAAACCAAGCCTAAAAACTTCAAATGTCATTGGGGACGCTGGGCCTGTACCTGTTGGCACCCTTTTTGGGTCACCCATGTCTTGTCCAATGTTTTGAAGACTTTCCCCAAACCTCTTTGACATTTCGAATCATGTTCATAGATTTGGAATGATTTGGACTTTCGTAGGTTCCTCACATATCTCACATGAGCGCTCGATGTGTGATTTCTAGTCGTTCTTGCCATATGCAATGACAAGATCCCTCTTGCAATCTGGGTGCCTGGGCAATCGCTAGATGTCGCTAGATCTGAAACGCAAAGCAAATCGATCAAAACTCGCCCCGGATCCACATGAGATGTTTTGGAAGCCCAATATAAATCAAGGACCTATTGTAGAGGGCACCTTGGAGAAAAAAAAACTACATTTCATTGGTCTTCGCATATATAGACTTCAGCGATGATAAATAAATGCATAAATGAATCACTTGTCACATCGTTTCATGGGCAATAAATCACCCGAAAATTACTATCCAAGAATAGTGGGGAACAAGACAACATCCAAGCCTTTCCCTCTGGTTCAATTAAGGTCACCTCTGTTCAGCCCAAAGACCTCCGCCCGGCCTCATCAAGCTTTCCCTGCTGCTTCAGGACCAAAGCAAGGTTGTTGATCGACCCAAGCGTGGCGGGATGGCGGGCACCGAGTTGTGTTTCTCGCCCCGCGAGGGCTTTGCGCTGCAGCTCCTCCGCCTGGCGGCCCGAGATCCGACAGGTGGCGTGGGCATATAATCCAAAGTCTCACGTCCTGCAACCGATTTAAGAAAGGGGGAAAAGGTGTGGAGGAGTTCTTGGACTTAAAAAAAGGTGCCTGTCAAGCACGCCCTTTGCGGCATGCAAACTAACATATCAGCATCAATTCCATTGTTTTGGTGGGTTGCCAATTTCAAGATGCGCCTTTTCATTTGCATGTCATTGATTTGCCCGAATTTTTGGGTTGTCAGTTTCAACTGAAAGTAACAATTTTGCAGATTGGGTTCCAGCCATGTCCTACATTCATTCGCGTGAATAAATGTGCATTAGTTCGCCCAAAAATCATCCAACAATACCAGGAAACAAAAAGAAAATCCAGGCCAAAACAAAAAGTGCCCTTGGTGAAACGTCCAGAAAGGTCACCTCTCACCCCAAAGACCTCCGCCCGGCCTCAGCCAGCTTCCCCTGCTGCCGCAGGAGCGCGGCAAGGTTGTTCATGGAGGTGAGTGTCTCTGGGTGATTCGCACCGAGGTGCGCTTCGCGCCCTGCAAGAGCTCGGCGGTGCAGGGCCTCCGCCTGGCATCTCGGAGATGGGAACAGTATGGGGGCCCCGGAGATGTCATACTTTCATTCAGCATGCGCCTATATATACTATAGGCCTCATTTGCATTCATTTGCAGGAATTCACCCGAAAGATTTGACAGTTTTGCCGTTTGCCATATTTTCATTTTGCCAATTACAACTATGAAATGTGGATGGAGGTCCCAACAATGTATTACGCCCAAGAAAGCAATCCAACCAATATTGGGAAATCGAAAAGAAAGAATCCAGGCCTCAGGCCTTGGCCACACAAAAAATATGCCCCTGAAAAACCTCCTCCAGGAAGGTCACCTCTCACCCCAAAGACCTCCGCCCGGCCTCAGCCAGCTTCCCCTGCTGCCGCAGGAGCTCGGCAAGGTTGTTCATGGAGGTAAGCGTCTCTGGGTGATTCGCACCGAGGTGCGCTTCGCGCCCTGCAAGAGCTCAGCGGTGCAGGGCCTCCGCCTGGCATCTCGGAGATGGGAACAGTATGGGGGCCCCGGAGATGTCATACTTTCATTCAGCATGCGCCTATATATACTATAGGCCTCATTTGCATTCATTTGCAGGAATTCACCCAAAAGATTTGACAGTTTTGCCGTTTGCCATATTTTCATTTTGCCAATTACAACTATGAAATGTGGATGGAGGTCCCAACAATGTATTACGCCCAAGAAAGCAATCCAACCAATATTGGGAAATCGAAAAGAAAGAATCCAGGCCTCAGGCCTTGGCCACACAAAAAATATGCCCCTGAAAAACTTCCTCCAGGAAGGTCACCACCTCTCTTCACGAAAGACCTCAGCCCAGCCTCAGCCAGCTTCCCCTGCTGCTGCAGGGGGATCGCAAGGCTGTTCATGGAGTTGAGCGTGTCCGGGTGATTCGCACCGAGGTGCACTTCGCACCCTGCAAGAGCTCGGCGGTGCAGGGCCTCCGCCTGGCATCTCGGAGATGGGAACAGTATGGGGGCCCCGGAGATGTCATACTTTCATTCAGCATGCGCCTATATATACTATAGGCCTCATTTGCATTCATTTGCAGGAATTCACCCAAAAGATTTGACAGTTTTGCCGTTTGCCATATTTTCATTTTGCCAATTACAACTATGAAATGTGGATGGAGGTCCCAACAATGTATTACGCCCAAGAAAGCAATCCAACCAATATTGGGAAATCGAAAAGAAAGAATCCAGGCCTCAGGCCTTGGCCACACAAAAAATATGCCCCTGAAAAACTTCCTCCAGGAAGGTCACCACCTCTCTTCACGAAAGACCTCAGCCCAGCCTCAGCCAGCTTCCCCTGCTGCTGCAGGGGGATCGCAAGGCTGTTCATGGAGTTGAGCGTGTCCGGGTGATTCGCACCGAGGTGCGCTTCGCACCCTGCAAGAGCTCGGCGGTGCAGGGCCTCCGCCTGGCATCTCGGGATGGCACCGGTGGAGTCGGGCCCCAGGCCTGGGTCCGCCTGCGAGTACCATGTGGAAAGGGAAGAAAGGTGGGCAACGGCCTTGAGTTTGGACTGATGAAAAAGATGTTTGGACATTTTTTTTTATTTTTTTTGCTCCGCCGGACCTTTTCTGGGTCTGCGCCTGGCTGTGCTCTTGCCGTACCCCGTTTTGGGGAGGCTTTGGACATTTATACCATGTAAATGCACTCATCATTCAAAACTTGAAGAATAAAACGCAAAGTTCGACGAGTTGACATTTCAACATAATTTGGATGTGTGTCATCTTCGTCCCAATCTTCCATTTGCAAATAAACTCCAACCTCAGAGTGCCTCTGTTCTGTGATTTTTTTTTGCAAAAACGCTTTGACAGCCTCAGACATCTCAGACTGAAACTTGCAACGCGGCATCTGTTCTTTGCAAACATCTTTTGCCAAACTTTGACATGTCCATGTTTTGGCACGTCCATACATGACATGATTTGAGATGATTTGAGATGATTTGCGTAAAATTGTCATGTTCATGCATTCTCGCACTTTACATAGATGACAAATTCTGAGATGATCTGAAAATGCGTTGATTGTTTCCCTGCACTTTTCCCAACTTTTCCCAACACAAAATGCAGCACCATCCACCCGCCACGGTGACTGCAGCACAGCACATCAGCGGCGCCTCGCTGAACTTCCCCAGCTCCTTCAGAACGAACGCCAAGTTGCCCACCGCGGCGAGCGTGTTGCGGTGCTCGGGGCCCAGCAGGCGCTCGTAGGCGTCCAGGACTCGGCGCCGCAGCGGCTCGGCCTCCGCGAAGGTGCCGCGGGCCTCCAGCACCCGGGCGAGCCTCGACCGTGGATCGCCACGGGAGCCGAAAAGTTCCCCACGGCTCCGTGGAGAGAGGGCACTTTTTTCACTAGTTGTGGTGTCGTGGCATATTTTTGGATCCAAGTCCCTGGTGAGAAAACAAGATTCTGGGATTCGAACTGTTTTGATTTCACTTGAGCAGTTGCTATAGGCTATACTTTTTGATGCTGTTTGATGCTATTTGATGCTTGTTGCAAATACTGTTGCCTACTGCAATCTACAGCTTTCACTTTGCAGCTTTGTGGCATCTCTGGATGCAAATCTCTGGTGACAAGACAATACAGTTCTTGACTCAACAAATTCAACAAATACATGTTTGCTAGTGTGTTGGTCTCTTTGGAGGGACTGAGATCCGCACCGGCTCAGTGCCAAAAGCGCTTTGCCGTGCTCAGGGCCCAATCTTTCAGCTGTAGCATCTGCACGGCACCGCAGCCTTGGTCCATGATGATGCCTATTATCACATGGCAATGCGGTGGTCGACCATGTCACCAACATGGAAGACAAATCAAGTTCAAGAGAATGGCCAACGGTACGCAAAATCGTCAAGGTGTGGGAAAGCTTCCGGCTTCAGTCAGAAGCTCCCTGGCTACTGGGCTGCAATCGATGGCCCCTGCTTCAAATGCGGGATCTTCAACCAGATGTTTTTACGCGTGAGGGCGGGGGGCAAGTTTTTTGAATTGGCAGACGTGTGTCCTACATGGAGCGGGAAGATTCAAGTCAACTTTTAACATAATCAATAGACATGGCATGGACGAATATAGCTGATATACTACAAAAGTCGAAGTGGACCGTACTCAAGAAATCTCAGAAGGAAGTGTCGTGCGTGCACTCCTGAGGGAGTTTCAAAGTTCCAGAACCTGAGTGCACGCCTTCTCCACATCTTAAAGTGAATGTTCTGGTGGCAAGATCAAACATCAAGATCAAACATCAAGCGATTCTGCTCCATGCCTTTACTCCCTGATACTTTCAAGTGCAGGACAAGGCCCGAGCCAGGACAAAACGATGCTTTTATGTTGCGCTTGAGCTTTCTAGATCTGGAGTGCAAAGTATTGGATTGACAAGCGTGCCGGCTCTCGAAACAGAGCTTGAGCTTCGTGGCTTCTGTTTGGTATCCTGTATCCTGCCACGACCATTATACTTTGACCCAAAGGAAAGGTTCCATAAACTTGCCAGGGAGCGACATGACCAGAGATCCTGGAAGAAGGAATTCGGAAAGGCAAGATGAGAGCAAGAGAGCAGCTGAAACAGTCCGCAGGGCTGCATCAAAAACACTTGACACTTTTGAAATCATGCTGGTTCTGGTCCAAATCTCTCACAGGGACCTGTGTGCATCTCGAACTTGAGACTTCATCAAAAGCGAAAAACTTGTCAGCCCTCTGGGTAATTTTCCAATAGAAGTTTGAACTCACCCCACCTGATTTAATCCTACTGGACAAAACCTAACCCCTGGATATGGCAAGCCCAAAGGGCCAAAACCCCTGGATTGAAGGGCCGTAACCCTGGATTGCAAGCCGACTCAAGACCCAAGTTCCAAGCCCCTGAAAGCAGCCAGGCTTCGTGTCCAGCAGCACTGCGCTGGCGTGGCCCACTTCGTCCTCTGTTTCCACCCTGATCACCACGCACTGCCTCTCTGGCTGACCAGGTTCATTCAGCAACTTGTCTGCCAGATTCCTGCGCCACGGGGCTTAAAAGCAACGTCTAAATGGCGTGTTCAACAGATTTCGAAGCACTCAGCGACTGGGCCCCTGGCACGCCGGGAGGCTTGCCCTGGCCCCGCAGAGCAAAGATGAGTCACAAGCCAAATGCTGCAGAAAATGTCCACACAAGATCGGTTTAGCTCCAGGCAAAGCATGCTACCAGCCTCCTTCTGCATCTCCGGCGTCTGTTGAGCCGCAACATCGTAGCATATGGCAGAGTTTGCCAAGAGTGGAATACAGTAGGCGACACGGGAGGCGTACTCCTGCATGACTGGATCTAGGTGTGTTAATCTCCAAACACTGACGATGTCCACATCCAAAAATTGAATCAAAACTGTGGGCAATGTTGCGCCTAAGAAAGGCACACTCTCCTCGTCCGCGGCCTCACGGCCTTTCGTTTTCACGTCTCTCGCGTGCATGT